TGTACTTTCATTTTGCATTCAGAACTTTTATTTTTATTTTTTGTAGCGTCTTAAAATGAGTTTGAGCATGTTGCTGATAACATTAGTCCGAATAATAGTTATGACTCTCTTAATGTAACACCCCTAAATTTTTAATTATTTTAAAATTATTTTTATAAAAAAAGTTATAAAAAAATCTCATTTCATTACTTATGAGAATCACATAAATATTGCAGAAGTTAAACAAGAGCAAATTTGGTGAAATGTTACTGCCGCATCTGTAATGAGGTAAGTGCAAGACTTATTTTATCATACTCTCATATCAAAAATATATTCAATTTAAATATTTAAAACTTCAAAATGCAAAACCCGACTCTAAGGTTTAACTTAAATATCTCTTATATAGTTATAGCATAAAATTTATAATGTTTAGGCCTAGCTTGAAATGTTCGAGACATTATCTTCCATGCTCACTACAAGCCCCAATATTCGGAACATGCTTCACTAAAGGTCTTTGCTTCCCCTAAGAATCATTGTAGCACACAAACACACAACATAAACAATCAACAAAAGGTGATAATCTCAATCCAAAAACACAGAAAAGATAGTCATAACTCAATAACTCATCATAATCAACTCGAGTTTCAATCCAAATTTGTCATTTTCTTTATTAATCTTATTTAGTTTCTGTAAAACTCCCAAATTTTTATCATTTTTTTTAAAAAATATTTCTATAATAGAGAAATTGTCAAAAATCACATTTAATTATTTATTAGGATTGCATAAATATTGCGAAAGTTAAACTAAAGTCAATTTGGAAAAATGTTACCGTCGCACCTATATTTGGGAGAAGTGCAATGCTAGCTTTGTCATACTCCTATACCAAAAATATATTCAATGTAAATATTTAAAACTTCAAAATGTAAAACCAGAGTCTAAGGTTTAACTTAAATATGTCTTATGCAGTTATTAAATCCTAAGTATAGAATTTATAATATTCAACCTAACTTGAAATGTCTTAGACGTTATCCTCACTGCTAGTCTCAACCTTCGAAACCTGCTTCATTGAGGATCTATGCTCCCCTGAAGGATCATTGCAGCACACAAATAGACAAACACAAACAATTAGCAAAAGCTTATAATCCCAATTCAAAACACAGCTAGGATAGTAATTCCTCAATTCATTAAGGATAATTGTAACTCAAATCAATCAACATAATCAACTCGATCATTAATCAAGATATTTCATTTCCACTAATAATTTTATTTAGTTTCATTTAGTTCATTTACTGGGAAGAGAACCATGGTAGACCGAACCATAGTAGACCCGGAAAACCCTGTTGTCAGGTACCACTTTGGGAAGAACGGATAACACCATTGTCACATCATATAACATTAAAGGCATAAAGCCCAAAGGTTGTGTTCATCACTTTCAAGATATATCATCACAAAAGCTATCTTCCCACTATTATTTTATCACACACAAATTAGGGAAATCAAATTTTGTCATAAATTATATACTTGGAAAATTTCCTCAAAACAATTATCCAACATTTATCAAAGGTAGCATTCATTTTACTTATAATCACTTATCCAACATCTTATCAAAGGTAAAATTTATACCACATATAATCAATTATCCAACATCAAATAAGAAGTAAAAGTCATACCACACGTAATCAATTATCCAACATCTATCAAAGGTAAGATTCAACATCTATCAGAGGTAAGATACATATCACACATTACAAATTAACACTTCAACCTACTATCATTAAGGAACTAAGATTATACCCAAGAAAATCATGTATAATTAGCCTTTGATTTTTTAGAGATTAAGATTAAACCCAACAATATTCATATATAATTAACCTATTATTTTCTATAGGTTAAGATTAAACTCAATAAAATTTCCAACACAATTCATATATAATGAACCTAGGATTAACTAAGGGTAAGGATTAGATAAGACAAATTCATTATAAAACTAACCTATAATACCCTAAGTATCAAGATTACATATAACAAATTTTATATAAAACTACCCTATGATACCCTAAGGATTAGGATTTCATATAACAAATTTCAAATAAAACTACCCTATGATACCCTAAGGATTAGGATTTCATATAACAAATTTCAAATAAAATTAACCTATGACACCCTAAGGAAACAAATTTCAAATAAAACTATCCTACAACACCCTAAGGATATAAAACTATGACACCCTAAGGATTAGGATTAACTAAACTTCGTGTTTGAAGGCTTCCTCAGTAGAAGAGCAATTAGCGAGGGGAAGCTTAGTTGGCAGCTAAGGGAAACATAGTTGCAACATAATTTGAAAGGGTTAGGAGAATGGAAGAAAAAAGGAGAAGGGAAATAGAGAGATGTAGGGAATCAGAGAAAGTATGGAAATGATTTGATTTGTTAGGTTAAACTCCTATTTATAGCTAAGGTTTTGTAATGGAAAAATGACATTAATTGCAGGTAATATTAATGGTAATCATAATTACTTTAATTATCATTAATTCATATCTTAAAGGTTACAAAATTAAATAAAAAATAGATGTTGAACGTTACAAATTAAATGATAACCAAAAATAAATGTTGAATGTTACAAATTAAAGTTACCACTAATTAACGTTACAATTTTATAATCAAATAATGGCACACTGGTGACAATTAATGACAACCAGCCTCAACATAAATATATCAAGGTCTATTCTTGTAACACCACTTCATGCCAAAGTAAAAATGTCTAACATCAAATAATGACTATAAAGGTAAGATTCATATCACACATAATAAATTAACACTTCAACCTACATCATTAAGGAATTAGGATTATACCCAAGAAATTTCATATATAATTAACTTGTGATTTTCTAGAGATTAAGATTAAACCCAACAATATTCAAATATAATTAACCTGTGATTTTCTTGAGTTTAAGATTACACCTAATAAAAATCCCAACACAATTCATACATAACCAACCTACGATTCTCTAAGGATTAAAACTAACCTACGGATTAGGATTACGCTATCAAGATTCATATAAAAACTAACTTACATATTAGGATTACGCTATCAAGATTCATATAAAAATTAATCTATAGATTATGATTACCATAACAAATTCATATATAAAGAACCTATGATTACCTAAAGATTGTAATTACATATAACAAATTCAATATAAAACTAATCTATAATACGCTAAGGATCGAATTACCTATAAAAAATTCATATATAAAGAACCTAAGATTACCTAAAGGTTAAGATTACATATAATAAATTCCATATAAAACTAACCTATACCTTAAGGATCATGATTACATCAAACAAAATTAATATAAAACCAATCCCTAAAGATCATGATTACATATAACAAATTTCATATAAAACTAACCCATGATGCTCTAAGGATCGAGATTACATGAACTCCGTGTTTCTCAAAAGAAGAGTGACGAGGGGAAAACGTAGTTGGTAGTTAAAGGGAAAAATAATTGCAACAATATTTGAAAGGGTTGTGAGGAAGGATGAAAAAGAAGAAGGAAAATGGAAAGATGCAAGAAATTAAAGAGAATACGAGAATGATTTGACTTGTAAAGTTAAGCTCCTATTTATAGCCAAGGTATTATAACGGAAAAAGGGCATTAATTGCCGATAATATTAAAATGGTTAAATAATTATTGATGATAATCATAATAACTCTAATTACTATTAATTCATATCTTAACGATTAAACAATTAAATAATAACAAAAATAAATGCTGAATGTTACAAATTAAATGACAACCAAAAATAAATGTTGAATCTTACAAATTAACATTACTACCAATTAACGTTACAATTTTATAATCAAACAACGACACACTAACAATTAATGTCAACCAATCTCAACATATAAATATATCAATGTCTATTCCTATAACACCACTTTATGCCAACGTTAACATGTCATGTAATGATATACATACATATTAGGGTACACACCAATATAAATGTAAATATCATTATTATTGAAAAAAACACTTCTCCGTAGTTCGTTTTGCATGCCATTTCTCGTCTTTTCTTTTTTTAAAGTGAGGCCCACCTTATTTTGGGTCGGCTACAAAATTAAAGCTTCTCCTCTGAAAGGAGAAGTTCAAAACCCATTATTATTATTATTATTTTATTTTATTTTTAGAGTTTTGAGCTATGGTAATGTTACCGTTAGCATGCTAGTATAATTGAATAATTACAAGTTAGCATCACATCTTTTACTACTAAACTCTCTTTTAACATATTATAAAGATATAATAGAATTATTAACTTATTAGTGACTTGATACGAAGCAAAACATTCTCAAAACAGCCGTCAATTTCATTCTTGATTATAATTTATAGGTATTTTATACGCATTGGACTGCTGATTTTTTCACTAATCATTAGTTGCACATTACTTTTATTGAAGAGGTTATAATTATAACATCTATTCCCTTATAACCATATTAATGATTCTTAGATCAAAATCAAATCAATAGTTACAAAATAACATTAAATAAGAACCATTCATTTAATTTTGATCCAACAATCATAAAAATAATTATTAAGGTTGTAAGACAAAAAAGATAGTAAATATAACCTCCCTCTACTTTTATACTACACTTTTTATTTATTTTCTGTCTCGAGATTTCTGCGTCCACTTACCCCCGTGACCGTGAATATGCTCAGTGAAACTATCACAAATGGTGTAAACATGATTAGAATAACATACAAATATCAGTGTCCACGTAAAAATGCAATTGCTACAAAACCATTCTTATCCTTTATTGATGGCCAGGTGCTTTGCAAACAGATTTGTGATATAGACGAGATGAGGCACTACCTAGTGAAATGGGTTTCTATCAGCATTTCCCCACTTACTACTTTACTCCTGCTCCGAATTGAAATTGAATTTGATCGATGTATATAATACAGAAGGCTTAAGTGACATGCAATATATACATAAGCTTTTCTGACGCACAAAGTTAGGGAGAAATGGATGCTACATTTATCAATTTATATACAATTCTTGACTCTTACAATATCTAAATTGCGTTATCACTATATAGTTCAGATCAATATACATTTAAAAAAGAAAGATGTTCACTCCTATATACATTTTCACTTCTTAATAATCCACGAAGGAAAAAGTTAGTGAGAATTTGCGAGTTTAAATACCATATTCTGCTATCATTGTCATGATTTAGAATCGTTCTATTAGTGGGAATATCAACTTATGCACTTGTCATACGCTAGACAGCTTTATACAGGAATATAACATGAAGAATCAACAATAAGATATGTTTTTCTTTACCTTTTTGAACTGAAAATAGTGCTATATGCTGATTTACTCGGAGTATATTCATGCACCTAAGTTGGATTCTGGACTAACTTCGGATGAGATACCGCATAAATAGAAGAATTCACATCAGGCTTTAGGTGTGAAAGCAGATGTTGAATGTCTGGACGTAAACTCTCCGATGCCCTTCCAATGAGAGCCAAAACTTCTGGTCGAGGTTTGCTGCTAACCTGCACAGGCCCTCCCTGCCCTTCATAATGGACGACATGATGGCTGAACACCAAGTGGTAAGAGTAAGTGGCAAGGCAGAAGATCAGAATTTCAAAACTTGTTATAAGGTAAGAGATTCTAAAACAAAGTAGTAACGCTTACAGGAAGTCAATGAGATCTGCTATTTCTGATGCATCTACAGCAATTGATGGCTGGGTGTTTTTTCCAAATACATCCACCAATATAGTTAACAGTAATGAGAGGGTCTGTGGCATTTTTTAGAGTGGAGAGGAAAACCATTAATACCCAAAATTTTAGTGACGTATATCAAAATTCCAATAAATCGTCCAAAAATGCACAAAAATCCTAACTGTAAAAAAGACCATAAGCTATGGCAAGAAATAACAAAACATCTAGTGACCTATGATAAAATCCTAGTGATTTATCCATGAAGAGGCTGTTATGGTTTCAATAATTTTAATCAAGATAAAGGTATACTCTTGGGGGAAAGTAGTAAAACAAGATTTAATGGAGTGGGATATAGATTGGCGGACAGTATGTCTTAGAACGGAATGGAGAAAACCTATAAGTATGGTGGAGGGTTAGACCCGCTGTTATTCCTATGTTCCAGATGGTCCATTTTTAGTCATTTTCCCCTTCATTTCCCCCACTTCTTCTTGTCCCTTTCTTTTTTACTTTTATTTATTTATATATACATATATTGTTATTTTATTTTATCTTATTTTATATTTTTATTTTATTTGTTTATTTTTATTTATTTATTTATTTATTTTATTTTTTATTTTTTTTAACTTTTTTTCAACCGTTTTGTATCAGATAAATGTAAAAGAATACGTTGTGTATTGATCTGTGTCAAGGAGTTACAATATATAGAGACCCTAATGGGCTTAAGTGTAAGGCCCAAACCTAATCCTAATACAGTCAGAATACAGTCAGACTATTTACGGATAAGACAGAATCCAATCATATCTAATCAAATCTAATCATATCATATCTAATATTCTAACACTCCCCCTCAAGCTGGTGCGTATATATTATGAGCACCAAGCTTGTTACAAATGTATTCAACCCGAGGACCTCTAAGAGCTTTAGTGAAAACATCTGCTAGTTGATTAGACGAGTTGACAAAAGCTGTCTTGATTTCTCCTGACTGAATCTTTTCCCGAATGAAGTGACAATCAATCTCTATATGTTTGGTCCTCTCATGAAAAACAGGATTAGAGGATATATGTAGCGCAGCTTGATTATCACAGATGAGTGTCATGGGTTGTTTCTGTTCACAAAGATGAAGCTCCTGAATCAACTGCTTTAACCAGATCAACTCACAGGTAGTATTTGCCATTGCACGATACTCAGCTTCTGCACTAAATCGGGAAACAACAGGTTGTTTCTTGCTTTTCCATGAGATTAAGTTTCCTCCGAAGAAGACACAATAACCAGAAGTAGAGCATCTGTCCGAGGGTGATCCTGCCCAATCGGCATCTGAGTAACCACAAATTTCTGTATTTCCCTGATCCGAATACAACAAACCTTTTCCTGGTGCTCCTTTGATGTATCGGAGGATCCTCACAGCAGCATCCCAATGTGAATCACAAGGGGAATCAAGGAACTGACTGGCCGTACTGACAGCGAAAGAAATATCTGGCCTAGTCACAGTAAGATAATTGAGCTTCCCAATTAGCCTCCGATAACGTCCAGGATCAGATAACGGCTCCCCCTGTCCGGGTAATAACTTGACATTAGGATCCATAGGTGTATCAACTGGTTTACTCCCCAACATACCAGTTTCTTCTAGGATATCCAAGGCATATTTCCTTTGACAGATAGAAATGCCCTGTCTTGATTGCGCCACCTCAATTCCCAAGAAGTAACGCAGCTTCCCAAGGTCCTTTGTTTGAAACGTACTAAACAAATGCTGTTTTAACTGACGAATTCCGTCTTGATCACTTCCGGTGAGAATGATGTCGTCAACATAGACTAACAAATAGATACACTTATCAGGAGATGTAATCCTATAAAACACAGAATGATCAACTTTACTGCGGATTAAGCCAAACGCCTGAACAGCAGAACTGAAACGACTGAACCATGCTCGAGGAGACTGCTTGAGACCATATAAGGATTTCCGAAGACGACACACCTTTCCAGACTCCCCCTGAGCAACAAAACCAGGTGGTTGCTCCATGTAAACTTCTTGTAAATCACCATGAAGAAAGGCATTTTTGATGTCAAGTTGAAGGAGTGGCCAGTGACGAACAGCAGCAAGGGCAAGAAAGAGGCGGACTGACGCCATCTTAGCGACCGGAGAAAATGTATCGCTATAATCAAGGCCAAAGATTTGAGTAAAACCCTTGGCAACTAAACGTGCCTTGAGACGATCAATATGGCCATCAGGTCTAACTTTCACAGTAAAAACCCAGCGACAACAAACTATAGACTTCTCTGGAGGAGCAGAAACAAGGTCCCAAGTGCCATTGGAATGAAGTGCAGTCATCTCATCAAGCATTGCTTGGCGCCACCCTGGATGGGAAAGTGCTGCACCTGTGGTCTTAGGAATAGAAATAGAAGAAAGACTAGAAACAAAGGTGAAATGAGGTGAAGAAAGACGGTCATAACTCAAAAAGGTATAAAGAGGATAAGGGTTACGAGTAGTACGTGTACCTTTTCTTTGAGCAATGGGAAGAGTCTCTGATGAAGGATCCGGAGGGGAAGAAGCAACAGCAGTGGGCGATGAGTCAGCAAGAGTCGAGTCGACAGGAGGCACAGTTTTGCGACGCTGATAGGTGAGAAGTGGACGGTCCTCAGGTATAGAAGCAATAGGTTGCTCATCTGGAATAGAAGCACCTGCAGCTGGCAAAGACAAGTCAAGAAAAGGGACAGGAAGTACATGATCAACCTGTGACATCTGAGATGGGATAGAATTAAAGGGTTGTTGATCAAGAAAAGTGACATCAGCGGAAACTAAGTAACGCTTAAGGTCGGGAGAATAACAACGATAACCCTTTTGAAGACGAGAATAACCAAGAAAGATACACTGAAAGGCTTTGGATGTTAACTTATCCTTACCAGGAGTGAGATCATGAACAAAACAAGTACAACCAAAGACATGTGGAGTTAGAGGATAAAGAGGAACATCTGGAAGCAATAGATTATGAGGAATGTCATTGTGGAGCACAGATGAAGGCATGCGATTGATGAGAAAACAAGAGATGAGTACAGCATCTGCCCAGAAGTGAAGAGGAACCTGCATATGAATAAGAAGGGTACGGGCAGTTTCAATGAGATGTCTGTTTTTACGTTCAGCCACCCCATTTTGTTGTGGAGTGTGAGAACAAGTAGTTTGATGTAAAGTACCTTGTGTGGCCAAGAATTTAGAAAAATCAATAGAAACATATTCCTTAGCATTATCACTACGTAGAATACGAATAGAAACACCAAATTGAGTATGGATCTCAGTAGAAAACTTTTTATAAATGGAAAATAACTCAGAACGATTTTTCATTAAATAGGTCCAAGTGCAACGGGAAAAATCATCAATAAAGGTAACGAAATACCGAAAACCTAAGACAGACAAGGTACGACTTGGACCCCAGATATCTGAATGAACAAGAGAGAAAGGGGCATCAACTCGTTTATTGACTCGACTGGCAAAAGAGGAGCGTGTATGCTTCCCTTGTTGACATGACACACAATCTAAAGACTGAAGACCGGACAAAAGAGGAACCATTTTCTGCAACTTTGAAAGACTTGGATGACCAAGGCGACTGTGGATAAGTTGTGGAAATTCTGTGAGAGAGCATGCTACTGAAGGACGAGGCACATCCAGATAATAAAGCCCCCGTGACTCATGACCCACTCCAATCATTTTCCCCGTACCCGGATCCTGCACAGAAACAGAATGGTTAGAGAAAGTAATGGTGCAAGTGAGGGAGTGGATCAACTTACTAATAGAAATTAAGTTATAAGGGATGCCAGGAATGTAATAGACAGATGTCAGGGCCAAGGTAGAGGTCGGACGAGCTTGTCCAATCCCACAAACTGGGGCTTTGGTTCCATCCGCAAGGGTAAAATACGGTAAATGATCAGAATAAGTAAGAGATGTAAAGAGTTCCTTATTACCACAGAGATGATCGGTAGCACCGGAGTCAAATATCCAAGTGCCAAGTGATGTAGAATGAGAAACACAAGCAACGGGATTACCAGTATAAGGCTGAGACTGAGTAGAAGCCTTCCTGAGAGGGGTTTGGAGTGCAGCACAGTCCGAACCTGAACCAAATGATGCTTTGTCTGACTGAGCTATATTTGCAACAATAGAAGGAGAGTTAACCTCCGAGAGATCAGGAGATGCTGCTGCCATTTAAAGATAAAATATAAAAGCCGTAAACGAAGGCAAACGATATCCAATCAAGAAGAACCACGCGTCTAAGGTCAGACCCACAGAGAAACAATCACAGATCCAGAAAGGGGAGGAGAAGGCGAGCTTCTCTGTCCAAGACCGGCCGGAAAAGGTCGCCGGAATAGTGCTCACGCGCCGGCAGAAGGTGGCGCGTGAAGCCCACGCGCAGTGAAGACAGGTGGCGCGTGACGGCGCGTGGGAGATGCGTTGCTGACCGGACCACCACAGACCTGGTCGCCGGGAAGAAAGGGTCCTGATCGCGTGAAGTTTGGTCGGAAAAGTCGCCGGAAAAAGTCTCTGGTTGCCTGAACAGTGATTCTGACGGCGGGCGGTGGTTCCGGTGGCCGTCGGAGGTGCTGACGCGTTTGGAAAAATCACTCAGAGGCTGTTTACAGCCCTAGAAGGCTTGCCGGAAGGACGCACGGCAAGAAAGATGACTCCTAAGCAGTGGGCTTAGGTTTTTAAAGCAAAAAACAAGGTTTCTGAGCGGAAGCGAGGGTTCCTAGAACGAAAAAGCTCTGATACCAAGATAAATGTAAAAGAATACGTTGTGTATTGATCTGTGTCAAGGAGTTACAATATATAGAGACCCTAATGGGCTTAAGTGTAAGGCCCAAACCTAATCCAAACCTAATCCTAATACAGTCAGAATACAGTCAGACTATTTACGGATAAGACAGAATCCAATCATATCTAATCAAATCTAATCATATCATATCTAATATTCTAACAGTATCTTTCATGTGGGTTCATCTACCACCGACCCTAATTAATTTGGGATAAAGGTGTTGTTGATGTTGATGTTGAAGATAAAGGTATACTCTAGCTGAAAAAATAAATCAGCAACGACAGAGCATTGACGTGTTTAGCTTCTGCATCTCAAGTCATTGGCATGCTACTTGATTTAACATTCAGCACAATTCAGGAAAGGATGGACTAAAGGGGAAAGACATTCTTAGGCAAGATCTGACAAATCCAGATGAAATCACGTTCATGACACGCTGGATATTAGAAAAAATTGATTTATGTGTGTGTGTGTGATATTTTCTGATCCTCAATTGTCTAGGACCCCAAGGAAATTGCTAAAAATTTGGGAAAGAAAAGGATTAAGATTTTTTCTAATTGGAAAGATCTTTACATGTTCAAGGCTACAATGTCAAGAAACAAGTTACAACATACAGGAGTCAACTCAGAGCTGATAAAATTGTTTATCATGAGATCAGGGACCTCATTACTATCAGTGAAGTCTTATTATTTGTATTTTTATAATTTTCTTAAGCGGTTACCATATAAATTTTTTATGAGAAAGTGATAATACTATCACTAGATACCAGAGACCTAATATGGAACATAGGCTAGCACTTATCCGTGGCAGGTGTTTGTTAGTATTTATGATTTGGAAAATACAACTCCTCCAGGATGCATTGAGGATCAGATTCTTCATAGCTATGTTCTCAATATTTAAGTTTGAGCACAGAAGGCACAAGCACAGAGAGATATATACATATATACACATACACACATGAATGTTTTCTTAAAAATGTGGAATTGGTGATTTTCTGTACCTTGTTGAAAAGTGCATGAGCATTGGCAAGTTTTGGAAGGAGTGGGCCCATTATACGGAATGCTATCCTCAACATTGCAACTGATGTTACTGGCCGAAGTTGCTTGATGATAACATTGGTCCCTTCAAGCCATTCTTGAGGGAGGTTACTGAAGAAAGAATGAAGCAACGCAACCACATTCCCTGTGATTACAAGAAAAGATCAGGGTTTCTTTCAGGCTCAATTAATTACTAGAAATAGATCAAAATTCACCTAGTTTTAATGGGAGCAGTATATCCTACAGAGGATAAACCAAAGTAATAGACACTTTAATTTCCATACAGATGCTTGCTGATAGCGTAGCACTCAAAACTAATAATAACTTGCAAAAAGATTAAATTATTCTCATAAATAAAATGTTTAGAAACAATAATGAACAAGATTTTAAAATCAAAGTTAGTGTCATGTTCTTTAAAAAATTTCACTTTCTCGAGTCATTCAAAATAAAAATTTAAAGAAATATCTTCTAGAACTTCTACCCTGTTGGTTAGTAACATCATTTCAAAATCTTTTAATGTCCAATTTAACCTGTACTGTGTCTTCTTGCATTTCCACGAACAACTCACTTATATCTTGATACATCCACACAAATTCTGAGCCATGTCTACCTGAAGACAAATTAAGGACTTCGACATGCTGATATTGCAGCCTATCCTTCATAAAGCAGATCCTTTTTGACAGACACAATTCATATATATTTCAAATAGAAAAATATCTCAAAATATAAGTCACATTTTTTAGTATCAAAGACAGATTAAAATTCTAATGGTAAGACTTAAGCAAATAATTTTCTAGTAAACAATCCCTCTGTGAAACCATACCAATGGCTGTGGAGGTATTGTCCTGTGCAGCCCACGTTGGATCTAACAAAGCATAGCCAACAGCAGAGTCTATTTCCCCAAGAGACCTTTTCCCATCTGTAAGCCACCAGTTCTCTTTTATAATACGTGTTGTCTCCAAGTAAAGTTGTAAGTGAAAATCAGAAGGAAGCTGAGCCAGTAGGAGGCCACAAGCTTGAATCAACAAGCAAGACAGTTGTTGGCATGTATAACCACTTCGAGAAGCAAAGTTAGAGGTATTTATTCCGGAGACTGAAGGTGTTGATCTGCTTGCCCCTAATGAATCTGTGCTTCCCCCTGAAGGTGATGTTGGTAATACTGAACCTTGCCCTACACCATTCGAACCACCGTGGAGAGCATTGCTGGACTGGATCAGTGTTGGTTGTATATTAACAACAATTTGAACAAGTGATTGTACTATCTGAGAGGCAGATACGGGAAGGGAAAGTATTTCAATGACAGCAGTCTCAAGAACCAGCTGAGTGTATGTGCCAGGATCCTGAATTTGGTAAAATGCCTTTTGGCCCTCAGAAGCATTTGCTGGCCCAGACTGAGATACTGCCGGAGGTTTGTTTTGTGCATTACGCAGTGCATTGTTCGAAGCATCCGTTGATCCAGATTTTGAATTGTTATGTAATGGAGGGATAACATTATTCACTATTCCCAATAACAGAGTCGTAAAATAATCCAGAGGAGGGCACATGACAGGATTTGACGAACTTATTTGCTGTGGGAATGACTCTGAAAAGGGAATCTGAAAGAAATACGGACCCAATAATAGTTGCAGAATAATATTATCTTCAAGTAAAACAACCTTAAGGAAAAAAAAAGGCTAACAGAAGAAAATGAAGATTGCTACCTTACTGATGTCAAGTACATTGAGTAATCGAACAATGAGCTTTCCTGGAAGATGACCATAGAAGTATGCAAGTATATCACGAACAAATGTAAATCTTAGAGGGTAATAAGCAAGCAATGTGGAATATATGGCCAATAGTCTTTCTGCTGGATCCATTGCGTCATTTTCAATAAATCTATAAATAATCAAGGGGATGACTGGAAGCAAACGTGCAGCGATATCATCAAAGAACACTGGATACCTGGATATTTTGTCGCATGCAGCATCAGTCAATGCAATTTTCATAGTGATGGCACAGGAGGATGCATTATATCCCAACAGTTAAACACTTACTTACCAAATAAAAAATGTAAATTACTAAAGCACAACTAAAATTGGCTAAGGCTGGTTCACTTCTGTCATTCCAAACAGAAATGTTGGATGCATTAACAATAATTGCACCCATTATTAGCTAAAGCTTGTACAATAATTTTGTCATCCATTAAGACATTTGGTAATGCTTCTTAAAAGTTATTAACTAAAATTTAGATTTCACCTGTTTTCACAATTCTTTTAGTATTATGACGCTAATCTTTTACTTGAATAACGTAAAAATTTGTGTGTATTTATATTCTTATTTTCAGTTAGCATACCTGGTGTGTGTGTGTGTGTGTGTTGTAAAAGAACACTAAAAGAAAATTGGCCAAGGCTGGTTCACTTCTCTCATGCCCAACAGAGAGTTGGATGCATTAACAATAATTGCACCCACTATTAGCTAAAGCTTGTACAATAAATTTGTCATCCGTCAAGGCATTTGGGAATGCTTTCTTAAAAGTTACTACTAGAGAAATACAATACAAATATAATATAAAATCATTCAAGGAACCTTCACCTAACAACTTAAATTTTTGGGTTGAATTGGTTCTTTATATAATATGAGAGCCCATGTGACCAAGTGATCATGAGTTCGATTCTCACCGCCCTCATTCTATTAATAAATATTAAATATTATAGAGTTTCTTAGCACAAGTAGATGGACTTGTGCATTATTCACCATTTAAACCCAACGGGCTATTATGCGGGAAGCATGTTAGAGAAATATAATATAAAACAATTAATGGGGCTTTCACCTAACAACTTAAGTTTTTGCATTGAATTGGTTTTTTATAGTTATTGTAAAGAATCTTGGGATACACCACCCCAAAAGCTAGCTCAAAGGGTGGGAGTGTCTCTACACGAGAGCCCATTGGACTTGAAGAGTGGACAATGCAACAGGCCCAGCCTACCTGTGCTAAGAAACGCCACAAGAGAAAGTGAGGGGCGGCGAAGATCGAACCCGGGACACGAGGCTCTGATACCATGTAAAGAACCTTGGTATACACCACCCTAAAAGCTAGCTCAAAGGGTGGGAGTGCCCAAGACCTTATAAACTCCACATTAGTTGCACATACAACCAATGTGGGACTATTATATCTCAACACGCCCCCTCACACGAGAGCCCATTGGACTTGAAGAGTGGACAATGCAACAGGCTCAGCCTACCTGTGCTAAGAAACGCCATAAGAGAAAGTGAGGGGCGGCGAAGATCGAACCCGGGACACGAGGGCCCAGCCTACCTGTTAGAATAGTTGTAAAAATAGTTCAGTATATATATAGTCCCACATCGTATGAGCTCAACCTATTAGGTCTTTTAGTCTCTTTAAATAGAGAGCTCTTGTACATTGTAATACACTATGATTATTCAATATACAATTATTCTTTAATCTCAAGTTGGTATCAGACCTTTTTCGCTCCGGGGATCCGCTTCCGCTAAAACCCTAAGCCCACTGCTTAGGTGTTCTCTTCTACTTTGCCGTGCATTCTTCCGGCGAGTTTTTCTCTAAGCCGTGTGTCTCTCCGGCTTGTTTCTTCAACTGTCAGAACCACTTCCCGCCGCCAACAACCGCCGCTCGTCACTGTTCAGGCCACCGGAGCACTGTTCCGGCGAGTATTCAGCCCAGACTACCTGTGATCAGGACCGTCTCATCCCGGCGACCAGTTCTGTGGTGGTCCGACCACCGTCGCGTCAGCCACGCGCCTCCACGCGCCGTTCTTCTCCTCTGCGCGTGGTGCTCACGCGCCACCTTCAACCGGCGCGTGTGCACTGTTCCGGTGGATTTTTCCGGCCGTTCTTGGACAGAACTTCTCGCCTTCTTCTCCTCTTTCCGGATCTGTGCTTGGTTCTTTGTGGGTCTCACTTTAGACGCGTGGTTCTCCTTGATTGGATATCGTTTGCCTTCGTTTACGGCTTTTATATTCTGTTTTTAAATGGCAGCAGCATCCACTGATCTCTCGGAGGTTAACTCTCCTTGTCCTCCTGTCAAAACTTCCTCAGGAATTATCTCTACTAATATTGGGCCCATTACATCTTCCGAACTGAAGGATTCTACCTCTCTTGCTGCGAATATAGCTCAGTCAGACAATGCATCATTTGGTTCAGTTTCTCTCTCACTTGCGGACTATGCTGCACTCTAAACTCTTCTCAAGAAGGCTTCTCCTCAGTCTCAACCATATACTGGTAATCCCGTTGCTTGTGTTTCTCATTCTACATCACTTGGCACTTGGATATTTGACTCAGGTGCTACCGATCATCTCTGTGGTAATAAGGAACTCTTTACATCTCTTACTTATTCTGATCATTTACCTTCTTTTACCCTTGCGGATGGAACCAAAGCCCCAGTTCGTGGGATTGGACAAGCTCGTCCGACCTCTACCTTGGCCTTGACATCTGTTTATTACATTCCTGACATCCCTTATAACTTAATTTCTATTAGTAAGTTGATCCACTCCCTCACTTGCACCATTACTTTCTCTAACCACTCTATTTCTGTGCAGGATCCGGGTACGGGGGAAATGATTGGAGTGGGTCGTGAGTCACGGGGGCTTTACTATCTGGATGTGCGTCGTCCTTCAGTGGCACTCTCTCTCACAAAATCTCCACAACTTATCCACAGTCGCCTCGCTCATCCAAGTCTTTCAAAGTTGCAGAAAATGGTTCCTCTTTTATCCGGTCTTCAGTCTTTAGATTGTGTGTCATGTCAACAAGGGAAGCATACACGTTCCTCTTTTGCCAGTCGAGTCAATAAACGAGCTGATGCCCCTTTCTCTCTTGTTCATTCAGATATCTGGGGTCCAAGTCGTACCTTGTCTGTTTTAGGTTTTCGGTATTTCGTTACCTTTATTGATGATTTTTCCCGTTGCACTTGGGTCTATTTAATGAAAAATCGTTCTGAGTTATTTTCCATTTATAAAAAGTTTTATACTGAGATTCATACTCAATTTGGTGTTTCTATTCGTATTCTACGTAGTGATAATGTTAAGGAATATGTTTCTATTGATTTTTCTAATTTCTTGGCCACACAAGGTACTTTACATCAAACTACTTGTCCTCACCCTCCACAACAAAATGAGGTGGCTGAACGTAAAAACAAACATCTCATTGAAACTGCACGTACCCTTCTTCTTCATATGCAGGTTCCCCTTCACTTCTGGGCATATGCTGTACTCATCTCTTGTTTTCTCATCAGTCGCATGCCCTCATCTGTGCTCAACAATGACATTCCTCATAACCTATTGCTTCCAGATGTTCCTCTTTATCCTCTAACTCCACATGTCTTTGGTTGTACTTGTTTTGTTCATGATCTCACTCCTGGTAAGGATAAGTTAACATCCAAAGCCTTTCAGTGTATCTTTCTTGGTTATTCTCGTCTTCAAAAGGGTTATCGTTGTTATTCTCCCGATCTTAAGCGTTACTTAGTTTCCGCTGATGTCACTTTTCTTGATCAACAACCCTTTAATTCTATTCCATCTCAGTTGTCACAGGTTGATCATGTTCTTCCTGACCCTTTTCTTGACTTGTCTTTGCCAGCTGCAGGTGCTTCTATTCCAAATGAGCAACCTATTGCTTCTATACCTGAGGACCGTCCACTTCTCACCTATCAGCGTCGCCAAACTGTGCCTTCTGTCGACTCGACTCTTGCTGACTCATCGCCTACTGCTGTTGCTTCTTCCTCTCCGGATCCTTCACCAGAGGCTATTCCCATTGCTCAAAGAAAAGGTACACGTACTACTCGTAACCCTTATCCTCTTTATACTTTTTTGAGCTATGACCGTCTTTCTTCACCTCATTTCACCTTTGTTTCTAGTCTTTCTTCTATTTCTATTCCTAAGACCACAGGTGAAGCACTTTCCCATCCAGGGTGGCGCCAAGCGATGCTTGATGAGATGACTGCACTTCATTCCAATGGCACTTGGGACCTTTTTTCTGCTCCTCCAGAGAAATCTACAGTTGGTTGTCGCTGGGTGTTTACTGTGAAAGTTGGACCTGATGACCATGTTGATCGACTCAAGGCCCGCCTAGTTGCAAAGGGTTTTACTCAAATATTCGGCCTTGATTATAGCGATACATTCTCTCTGATCGCTAAGATGGCGTCAGTTCGCCTATTTCTTGCTCTTGCTGCTATTCGTCACTGGCCACTCCTTCAACTTGACATCAAAAATGTCTTTCTTCATGGTGATTTACAAGAAGAAGTTTATATGGAGCAACCACCGGGTTTTGTTGCTCAGGGGGAGTCTGGGAAGGTGTGTCGTCTTCGCAAATCCTTATATGGTCTCAAGCAGTCTCCTCGGGCATGGTTCAGTCGCTTCAGTTCTGCTGTTCAGGAGTTTGGCTTAATTCGCAGTAAAGTTGACCACTCTGTGTTTTATAGGATCACATCTCCTGATAAGTGCATCTATTTGTTAGTCTATGTTGATGACATCATCCTCACCGGGAGTGATCAAGCTGGAATTTGTCAGTTAAAACAGTATTTATTCAGTCAATTTAAGACAAAGGACCTCGGGAAGCTGCGTTACTTCTTGGGAATTGAGGTAGCACAATCTAGACAGGGCATTTCTATCTGTCAAAGGAAGTATGCCTTGGATATCCTAGAAGAGACTGGTATGTTGGCGTGTAAGCCAGTTGACACACCCATGGATCCTACTATCAAATTACTACCCGGACAAGGAGAACCATTATCTGATCCTGGACGTTATCGGAGGTTGATTGGGAAGCTCAATTATCTCACTGTGACTAGGTCGGACATTTCTTTTGCTGTTAGTGTCGCTAGTCAGTTTCTTGATTCTCCTTGTGATTCTCATTGGGATGCTGCTGTTAGGATCCTTCGTTACATCAAAGGAGCAACAGGGAAAGGTTTATTATATTCAGATCAGGGAAATACATAAATTTGTGGTTATTCAGATGCCGATTGGGCAGGATTACCCTCGGATAGGCGCTCTACTTCAGGCTATTGTGTTTTCTTTGGAGGAAACCTGATTTCTTGGAAAAGTAAGAAACAAACTGTTGTTGCCCGATCTAGTGCAGAGGCCGAGTATCGTGCAATGGGAGTTGCTACCTGCGAGCTAATCTGGTTAAAGCAGTTGATTCGGGAGCTCCATCTTTGTGAACAGAAGAAACCCATGACTCTCATTTGTGACAATCAAGCTGCACTACATATATCCTCTAATCCTGTATTTCATGAGAGAACCAAACATATAGAGATCGATTGTCATTTCATTCGAGAAAAGATTCAGTCAGGAGAAATCAAAACGGAATTTGTCAACTCCAATGATCAACTCGCGGATGTCTTCACTAAAGCTCTTAGGGGTCCTCGGGTTGAATATATTTGTGGCAAGCTGGGTGCTTACAATATATATGCTCCAGCTTGAGGGGGAGTGTTAGAATAGTTGTAAAAATAGTTCAGTATATATATAGTCCCACATCGTATGAGCTCAACCTATTAGGTCTTTTAGTCTCTTTAAATAGAGAGCTCTTGTACATTGTAATACACTATGATTATTCAATATACAATTATTCTTTAATCTCAAGTGTTATAAACTAAAATTTAGATTTGAGCTGTTTTCATAATTCTTTTAGTATTACCATGCTAATCTATTACTTGAATCACGTGCAATTCTGTGTATTTAACTTCTTATTTTCAGTTAGCATACCTGTTGTGTGTGTGTTGTAAAATTAATAATTATACTGTAGAGTGAACTAAATCTCAGTAAAAGTGAGGATTCGGGTGTAGTTGGATTCAGGGATTGTATTTCGGCTGCAACTCCTTGTTATCTTTATTGATCATCATGACATGTGGAATTTATGTTTTGCTGGTATAGGCCTATTGTACGCTGGGTTGAACCATGTTGATCTCTATTAGAGATGTAATATGAAACTATTTATTTGTCTTCACTTAGCATATTTAAGCTTTTGGGATAACTAATTCATGACATGGTATTAGAGCCTTTATGACCTAGTGGTCTAAAGTTCAATCCTTGCCTATGCATTGACTCAGTTCAAAGCCCAAAGGGCTGTTGCATAAGGTGGGCATGCTAAAAATGTAATATAAAACAATTCATGTGTCTTGATCTACAAACTTAAACTTTTGTGATAGTTGGTTTATGACAATCTTCATGAGTATTTTCTTCTCTCTATTTTTTGTTTGCACGCCTGGTTACAGTAATTTCATTCAAAGTCTTAATAATAGAAAAACTTTGAGGAGGTTTACATACCAAATAAAGCAATCTCTATATTTGTATCATGTATTTTTCTTATTTTGAGACTATTAGTCCCTATTCCTACACTACCCATCTGCTTGTTATATTGTGATTTAAAGTTTCGGGTACTTATGGAGAATTTTGTATCTGTACTGAAAGGTTGGAGCACTTTTTGCTAATTAATTTTCCGAGTAAAAGAGGCAGGACAAGGCTTTACGATAATATGCAGTATTTGTACATATTTGATATGTATGGTTGGTGAGAGACCCCAGAATTTTCAAGGATGAATCTTTACTACGAACTTTTTATTCTAATATTATTGTAAATATGGAAAATGTGTAATATTTGTTTCCTTTATATTCATATTAATATTTTCTTATTTTTAAGGATTTGGATTTATTCCTTTAGGCCATTAGTCTCTCTATATATATTATATTCCCTTTACATGTGCTTTTGAGAACCAACAATTTTTTTCAGCTTTTCTCCTTTCAAATTGCCATTAGAGCTCTTAATCTGGGAGCCTTTTGCTTCCACAACCATCGCCTCTAGTGTGGATCCTTCTTTACGCTTTTAGTGCGTCCAAGTCACCATCTTTAGTGCGGAACCTCTTGCGCAACTTTCGTGTCACCACTTCTGGTCACCAGCCGTCATCGGAAAATTTTTCTGATGACTTTTTCTGTCAAGAAGGCAAATTTTCGCTTATAATTTCCAAATCTACAATTCTACGCCACCCTTGTGTCCAGAGCTGTTCCACACACACTGGAAAGTTTCAACTGCTACTTTAATCTCCAGTCGACCACTTTTCTAGCCGTTTTTTAGACCAGTTAGTCCCAAGATGAGGTTGCGTGTCCCACATTGACCAGAACCCAGGAGCCCATCACCGAAAACACCGCATGCGCCTCCACAAGCTAGTTGTCTCTCTGGCATTGTACTAAAGAGCGCGTGACAGCACATGAAGCATCTTCTTGGTTGTTGCTTGTTGTCACCTCCTCCCTCCAGATCTGTCGTAGTCTTTTCAATTCGATACTGTTTGGATCACGGCCCTTTGTTTTCCCGTAAAGCTCGGATCTTTTTGGTTCATTCAGGTTTCCGTTGCTCAGATCTAACAATTTTATCACTATTTGGGGACTTCCGATAACTCAAGCAAGGCAACGCTCTAGTTTGTGGATCCTTATGGATAATTTTAGTAAGACATCTCACCCTTGCTCTCGTTCTATAACTAGTAAGGACACATACTTAATCTTTTTTTGGCTTCTAGTACTTATTTTAAAAGGTTATGGATTGTTGACTCTGGTGCGACTAACATATGACTTGTCAGCCTGATACCTTTCCCTCTTATCAATCCATCACAATATTCGCACTATTACTATTGTTGATGGATCTTATGTATCGGTTGTGGGTTTTGGTACCATCTCAGTTCAACCTTCCTTATATCTAAAAAATATTCTCCATGTTCCTAATCTCATGATCTTCTCTCCATTCACAAACTTACCACTGATTTGACTTGTACTGAAATATTCTTTCCTACTCATTTTGTCTTTCAGGATCTCACCACGGGAAAGACAATTGGAGTTGTTAAGGAACATGGTGGGTTATATTATCTTTCAAAAACATGTTGCAAGTAGTTCCCGAAAACAGTTGCCTATGGCTCATAACCAGTCCACTTCAGAGTCAATAATTTGGCTTCAACACAAACATCTGGGACATCCACCTTTTAATCTTCTCAAAACTTTGTTTCCGACCCTCCTCAAGTACGTATTTGTTGAATCACTTCATTGTGATGTCTATTAGTTTGCAAAACACCATGGTACATCTTTTCCTTCTAGCTCCATAAAAAATGTCGTACCATTTGATCTTGTTCGCTATGATGTTTGGGGACCATCTAAAGTACATAATATCTCGGGTGCTAAATGGTTTGTTTCATTCATTGATGATTCTACCCGAGTAACTTGGATTTTCCTAATGAAGACAAGTTGGACGTACCATAGTTATTCATCCAATTCTATCACTTGGTTGAGACCCAGTTTGGAAAAAATATTAAAAGACTACGGATTGATAATGGTACTGAATACATCAACCAACAACTCTCACAATTTATTAAGGACAATGACATGCTTCACAAGCTCACATGTGCACATGCCCTTCAACAGAATAGGGTTGCTGAGAGAAAAAACCTTCACCTACTTGAAGTGGTTAGAGCATTACTTTTCCAGACATCTAATCCCAACTCTTATTGGGGAGAGACTGTGATGATTACAACATATTTGATTATTTGGTTACCCTATCAAATCCTTCGAAATATAAGTCCTATTCCCCTCAAGACCTATCTTTTCCATATGTCCCTATTATGCAAAGTCTTGAGTCTTGCATCCTTGGGTGTGGCATTCTTCCATGTTCATAAGTAAATTGGATCCCCGAGCTCTTAAGTATATCTTCCTAGAATACGCCCCCAACAAAAAGGGGTACAAATGCTAATCATCTTAGTTGCAAGTTTTTTATATCTGTTAGAATAGTAGTGTATATGACAGAATAGTCCCATATTCCTTCTGGTCGTCAACTTGCTGATGTCTTGACCAAAGGACTTCCCACTGGCAGATTAAGAACTTACTAGCAAGCTAGGAATGATAAATATCCATTACTCCACTTGAAGGAAAGTGTTGTAAATATGTAATATTTGTTTTCTTTGTTAGTCAGATTAATGTTTCCTTATTTTTTAGGATTTGGGTTTATTCCTTTAGCCCCATTAGTCTCTCTGTATATATTATATTCCTTTATACATGTACTTTTGAGAATCAATAATATTTTTCAATTTTTCTCCTTTCAATTTTTCTCCTTTTGGTCGTCAACTTGTTGATGTCTTGACCAAAGGACTTCCCACTGGCAGATTAAGAACTTACTAGCAAGCTAGGAATGATAAATATCCATTACTCCACTAGAAGGAAAGTGTTGTAAATATGTAATATTTGTTTCTTTGTTAGTCAGATTAATGTTTCCTTATTTTTTAGGATTTGGGTTTATTCCTTTAGCCCCATTAGTGTCTCTGTATATATTATATTCCTTTATACATGTACTTTTGACAATCAATAATATTTTTCAATTTTTCTCCTTTCAAATGATATTTTGGTGGGACCGGCATGATTTTCTTTTTTTATATCTATTTACTTTTTCCTATGATTTTAATTTCTCTTTTACTTCAAGAATTAAGAGGATGTCCTGTCCTATGACTCTAAACTTCTCTCCTCTTTTTCAAACAAGTTTTCTTTAAAAAAATAAAAATAAATTCTGGACTCTGGCTTATAAGACACAAGATCAAACAACTGATAAATAATACAATGAAATAATTTTTATGTTCAGAAGATGTATATTAATCCTTTGTTATCTCCAATCAATCTCATATCTTTTGTTCATTCTTTTCTTAACGTTTCAGCCGTAAGATGAGCACTTTTAGGTCTCCATTCATTTATTTCAAGAACAGACAAGTTTGTAAATTCTTGTGAGACTGAAGACATAAAGATTATATGCTCCTTATTGGCACCATAAATAAATCAAAAATATTTGTTTGAGTTCCATTTTCAAGAAAGTTCTTCTTAACTACAATGAATCAAATTAAAGATGTTTGATCTCAGCAAAAACGACAAGGTCACTCGATGTTTTAATAGAATGTACCTATCCTTCCATGAAAGGTGATTTCCAAGAGCCTTTTGTAGCTCAACCCGCTTGAATATTCCTGAGTAAAGCCAATGTTCCGGGTGCCCCCGAGTTAAACAAAAGACTTTTACTCTTTGCTGAAGCTCTTGCCTATCAAGTAGACTAATCTGCAATTATTTCCATAACATTATTAATCTTCATATAAGAAAGACAAAAAAGCTCCATTGCCCCTACTTTATAATTATAAGAAATATGTTTACTTGGCCTTTATTTCATGTTCAGAACTTCAGATCATGATATATTCAGGGCGTTTCTACACTAGACATGCAAAGGGATTGATGACCTTTACTATATTGATGATTTCTTTCAGAGCTCGTGTTTCATTCTATGAATGTGCTGTTGGGATGCTGTGAGTATTATGGTAACAGTTTTTATCCGTTCGGGAGGGAAAACTAGTACTGAATTTAATGGTTTAGAAAGAGGATATGACATTGCTGACAATATAGAGAGGAGGAGGAAAAATAAATTGCATGTTGCAGCATCACCATTACAAGAAACCTAAGACTGAAATCTCACGAGTAGAACCTCATTTCTACAGTAAAAGGGAGAATTTGAGAACCAACTTTTGAAATGATTCAAAATTTATCATTATACGAACCTGACTTAAACAATGCTACTACATCAGATATATCTGCAAGCAAAAGTTGGCAAGAAATGACACAAACAGACGGAATAAGATCTAAAGGACAAATGAAATTAACTATTCACCAATAGGATAAAATACCACTATGAGCAAGTTTTATCTTTTCTCAAATTTTCTTTCTCATTCTTTTATTTATTTATTTATTTTGGAAAGAAAGATCAAGGATCGGTGTGCATATATCCTCATAAGAAACAAAAAAATACAATCACAGATTGAGTTTGAATGTACATACCACAATATGCAAAGCATGTGGATCATCATCACGATCAATAAGTGCTAGAAGCAAGATATCTAGAGGAAGTAATTCATTTGTCCAAACAAAAAAGGCAAGGCTTGCACAAGCTGTTAACAGAAGGTCCTATAAAGAGAAACTATATGAAAATTACTAAAAAGGTACTGATCTACAGAAGTGCAAGATAATAAAGCGTCATCACAGATATTAACCTGTAAGGAATGTCCTTGTTGAAGCTCAACCTGCATATGATGAAGCAGAACATCCACCATTGTGTAAATGTTAGATGTCACCTCTTCAGGAGAAAATTCTCGCAGGACGCGTCCCTAGACCATTATGGAAAACATGTTAATTTTTTTCATTGTCTTATGAGAGTTTTAAAAATACAAAGGGAAGAGCTATACAAGAAAAAAATAAAGTGGAATAGAAATACGCAGGGGAAAAGTTCCATATAACAAAGATGAACTCATTTTCAAAGCAGTTAAATTTTAAAAGGAAACCGAAAAATGACATGTAAGCATTAAGACAGCAGTTACAAGATAAATACCAGGTTTACATGGTTAATGTTTTCTGAGTGGCCCTGCATTAATATCAAAGCACCAGCACACAAATATTGTCGATGTTGCGGGAAACTATGACCGATATAGGTCATAACATAACTAGGATCAGCCGATGGTGAAAGAAGCTGGGTGCACTGGTTTATTACAGTGTTTTCGGCCTGCACAAGTATCTCAAGTATGAATTTACATATCTAGGAATACAACCGGCATATGAGAAAAAATTTCTAATGGTTACATCATTCACTAATTTATAACATTAATTACCACTGCCACAAATTTCGGACATATTTTTTTTTTGTTCATATTTTGTTTTTTTTGGTAAATTTTTTTTTTTTATTCATATTAAAAAGATATCTTTGATATATAAATATATATATATATATATTGCATACTTTTATATCTTATTTTTATGAAAAAAATAGCATCTTATTCATTATTGTTATTTTTTGACATGATAAAATGATTAATATATTGCATGATACGTAAATTGCACTCTTGTGCATTTAGAAAAGGGAAAGTGATAAGACAAAAGGTTTAGCGTGTCAATGTCCTCCCAACCCGTCCATCTAATTGATTCTACAGGAAACAGGAAATCACCCTAGAATACATGAGCCAGACACCATAGGGAAGCCAAGGGAACTATTCAATCTCGTAGTATTAAGACGGCAACATTTGACTTTTTAACATTTTGGTATTCTATTCAGAACACCAAATTATAGATCCAGCAACACAAAAGTCCAGAATATACAACTTATTTTTTACCAAAACCTTTGTATTTAATCTTCATATTACTTCATGGTTTGAGAGACACCCCAGTAATGGCAAACATCCATATACTCAGTTACACGACAGCTAAGGAATAAATAGCTGTATTTGGACATTACGGATGAGAAAAAGATATTAGTAACATCAATATCACACTACCTTTATCCCAAACTAGTTAGGGTCGATAGTAGATGAACCCAAATAATAAGTACGAAATAATTGAGAAAAAAAAAAGAAAGGATAAAAATATATATATATATATATGACACTAGAAATTAAAAAAGCAATAAACAATTAAAAGGAAAAATAAAATAAAACAAAGTAAAACTAAAGATAAAGACAATAAATAGAAAAAAGTTAAATAGAAAAAGACAATAAATAAATAAACAAGAGAAGAAAAATAAAGAGAAATAAAAGAAAAAGAAAAAAAAAAGGAAAGGTAAAGAAAGAAATAGAAGGAGATACAAGGGCAAAGGACTAAAAAGGGACCATATAGAACATAGGACGAAAAACGGGTCTAATCCTCCACAATGCAAATCGCTCTCCTTCAATCCTTCCTAGACACACTGTCCGACAATTTATATCTCACTCCATTAAGTCTTGTTTTACTACCTTCCCCCAATTAAGTTTTGATCTTCCTCTTCCTCTCGCCCAAACCATCTCAATCTATATTCTCTCATCTTTTCAACCATTACTACTCCTACCTTTCATTGAATATCTTTATTATCTTATCCATCCTTGTATGACCACACATCCACCTTAACATCCTCATGTTCGCTACTCTCATTTTATGTTCATGTTGTCTATGTGTTGGCCAACATTCAGCTCCATAAAACATTGCAGGCCTTACTGTTGTTCTATATGACTTTCCTTTTAACCTAAGGGGAATCTTGCGGTCACACAAAAACCCTGATGCACTACGCCATTTCATTCACCCTACTCTGATCTATGATTTACATCCTCATCAATCTCTCCACCCTTTGCAAAATTGAACCCATATATCTGTAAGTATCTTTCTTGTGTACCACTAACCACCAAGGAAGGACAAGGTGGCATCAACACGCCGGACAAGACAGACAGTCTTACAAACCAAAGCCATGCGCTGACAAATAGAGCGGTGCCTGTTGGCATGTGACAAGGTCTCCAACAACTGTGCTTAGAGAGGTGGCTGGTTAGCAATTTCTGGGTGGATCCAGTCCTTCACAATAAGTTGGGTGCCAGCCAAGATGGCAGCTTGAACCAGCTTTAATACCATGGAAAAGATGGGTTTGTAATTTCTTGAGGAAATCCTGAGCAAAGCTTTCTATTTATGCATGATTTACAATCTTTAATATAAGAAAACTAGAAAAACAAGGAAACTAGGAAAACAATACAAATCTAATAGTTTATAAAATATATAGTTCCTACTTTCCAACAGTTACATTACATCCATTTTGTATTTTCTGCATATGTTCATCACCCCCGGGCCCCAAAAAAAAGAAAAAATTTATTTTTTCAAATTAAGACAGAATTATGTAGGATGAAACAAAAAAATGACTGCATTATGAGCCTCTATTATTTACTGATCTAGAATGCTGGCAGATATGGTAATACAACTTGAATAACAAACCTGCTGCCATGCTTGTATTGCAAGGCTCCTTTTATCTATTCGACTACTCAGTGCTTCACGCAGAACAGGAGGGAAGTAGCGTAGTGTTTTTTCTGACCATGTATGCTGGCTGGTAGCCATTATTTGTTCCAACATATTTTGGAGATAAAGTAGGTGATCAGCATCCGCAATCCCACGAGTTTTAATAAGGATGGCAAGTGTTATAACAGTCACTCGATTCAAAGTTTCAGTAAACTCCGTTGGGCCCTGCAAAAAAAATAAAAATTACACAAGAAATAAAGCATCTCAATCTTGCTTAGAGTGACTAGTAAGCACAAATGAAAAAGAAAAATAACTGAAAAAAAAGAAGTTCCAGCTTCTGAGACCAAATCAAATACCTTGCCTTCCCTTTTAACCAAGAAGAAATCTCTCAATGAGAAAAGAAGATTCAGGCACAGATTTTCAGCTAATCTGAATACTCGATGATCTCCTCGTTTTCCTTTTAGAGCAGAAATGATCTTTGTAACATCATACATCAAGGCTTTGCTTTTTCCCTGGTACCTACATAAAATGACATTTTCATATTTGAAACATAGCTTTTAGCATGTCTAATTCCCTGCAAAATAAATAGATATCACCCCATCTAACTCCATTTCTGGAAACTACAGATACATTTTGGGGCAAAGGCCCAGATGGGGCGATAAAGGATCTTTAAGTTTTAAAACCATTTATTAAACTCAATTTATTTTTGACAGAAGAAAATTCATACCATGTACAGAAATTATCACCTGTAAAGTGGAAGTAGTCGGTAGTTCAATATCTCAAGCACCAAAAGTGTTACCCCAGGCTTGCTCAACAAAGAAGGACTTCTTTGCACCAAATGCTGTGATAAGTTATGTTTTAGAGAGTTGTGATTATAACATCAGCAAGTCAGTACATAAAAAGTTTAATATATGAACAATACAAGTGGCAACAAAAATGATAAAAAAATGTTTCATGAAACCCTGGAAAGGTTAAGAATTAGGTAATGCTTGATACTAAAGAAGAACAAGGTCAGAGATATATATATTGTAATCTTAAAAGACTTGTAGTCTGTCTTATAATCCACGAAAACAAATAATTTATCATTTCAGATTGACTGTAACAACAAGCTAGATCAATAACATCATTTGTCCATATGACTAGTTTCCTCAAAATGAAAACTAATCAGCAGCTGCCAGCTAATTCTACTAAATATAGGAGTTCCACCACAGGACTTCAACATTTAATATTCAATTTCGCCTTCCACCAAGAGATAGAAAAGTACAAGTTGTTCCATCTAAAAGGGATACTAGACTCACAAAGACAAAACATTTTTATTTACAAATTAGCATATAAAACACATAGCATAAAATGTTATCACTGAAGAGCAAAGAAAATTACATTGAAATGCGAACGAAACAGTGAATGAGGTGCAATGAGCAACAATCTAGTGTAAGTTTCAACCATTGCAATGCTGGGCACAACCTGCACATAATATGAGGCAAATATCAAAAGACAGTTATTCCTCTGACCTATAAGAAGGGGCACTATAATTATTTATTTCCAACTCTTTGAAGAGGAAATCATTACTGAAAGTTATAACCAAGCCTCTCTCAATGATAGTATTGTAATAATCATACAACCACAAGTATGGAGCAAAAAAATCATGCTGGTAAATGAATCGTATCATGAGAGAAAGACAGAGAATGAGAAACAACCTGCCCAGAAAACAGAGAGTCTTCCATTTGATAAGACAGCTTCATACATAAGTTCATTGAAAATCCAGATAACAATGACATGGGCAGTGGGCTCACTTCTCGTGTAGCCACTAATCTTTCAGCCGGTTGTTGTAGGTTTGTTCCTGGTAGCAAGTCAGTAACTCCAGCAGAAGTTAACCAATTCATTACTGTTTCACAAGCAGGCTGTGCCATTGTGTAGGTCACAACCCAAAACATCCCTATTGACCGTTCATCCATATTCATATAATCCATCATGCGGTCCCCTGAAAATTCAAGTGTTTATTATTAGAATAATGCAATCAATCAACACCTAAATGATAATTTAACTACAATGTAATAATATTTCAATCAGCAAACTGCCAAAAATTATACATAAGAGTATAGAACTTATGTGAAAATGAGTATAAACAATATAGGCATAGACTGTAGCAAAAGAAGAATTTTATAAATATTAATAAGGAAAATTAGATCAGACAGAAAGAAAGAGATAGGCCAAGATAAAGAGAGAGAAAGTACGAGAAGAATTAGAGGACAATACATATACTCATGTTAACTATAAAAAAAGGGCACAAGGGCCCACACAAAAAAAAAAAAAAAAACCCACAACAAAGCAATAGGGCCCCCTGACTTTGCGAGGGTAGAGGTGAGAGTCAATTACACACGATCTTCCTGTCACAAAGAAGTAACCCACTACTCCAAGGCTCGCCCTCATACTTACTTTAACTATGAAGACAAATATTACAAGTTTGCAACTAAGTTACAACTAGAGTTAACCATAGTAACTATCTCAGGTTTACCATCACATCCACCAGAAAAGAAGTACACACAAAGAGGATATTCAGTCCTCCAAAGTCAACAAAAACAGAAAAAAGGAAAGAAAAAAGAAAACAGCAGCTGAAGAATAGTACAATAACTTCTCAGTAAATCAATTACAGAAATCTCCCAAAAGAAGTCAATAAACTATGTTCATCTAAACTGATGTAAGGAGTAACTAATCTTTTTAAAATATTCCATAGAAGTAACATGTCAATAATAATAATAATAATGTAGCTAAATTCAGGCAATGAAGATTTGGCTGCACCTCTTTATATAATTATTTTGCCAAATAATAGCGCCATTAGAAGAAAGATGATATAAAAAGGATAAAGAAAATGAAAAGTGGAGGAATGAAGCTTCTTTAACAAATGACCCTAAATAAAATATTTTCCACGTGATGTGAGCATGCAGGGCATGCAAATTTTATAAGTTAATGCAGCAGGTAATCCATAATAAAATTAATTGAAGTCCTTCAATGTTCACAAGAGGTCAAAAAGAAAAGAAAACTGCCAAGTAATCAGTATATGTTTCTTCAGATACATACAATGGAGCAAGGTAAAATAAGAAATATTACAAATGAATCTTATGAACAAACATCAAACCATAATTTAGTCATTTGACATTGTCATAGGCTAAAACACAATGAAATAATCATGTTTAATCTACCTTTGCTTGCTTGTCTCCACCATTCATCTATTTGCTTTCCTTTTTGAAGCTGTTCATTGTTCAGATATTCTCTGGTTGATGTGTTCAATGACCAAATACGTAAATTTTGACAACTGCTTACAAAATCAAGCAAGATACTTTGAGGGATATTAGGATCGGAACTTCTGTCTTCTCTATGAAATGATAAAATCTTTCTGGTTGTCTCCACCTGTCAGACAGTGCCAAGTCCATTCTATATCAACTAGCACAACATAATTTCATAAAATTGCTGTAGCACACCAACCTAAGTCTGAGTCCCAGCATAATTATTTCATTAGATTGCCACAAATTTAGAAAGTCCGGACACCAAAAATATTCATTTCTTGAGAAGATTTTGTACTAAACCCTTCCCAGAATAATTTTGCAGTTAATATAATATGTTTTGGACATCAAAAAAGAATTTGTCTTTGCATCCGAAGGGAAGTAGAAAGAACACATTTTCACAATGGAAGCAAGATTTACATTTAATTAACCACCTTTCTAGAATCTGAGTTCAAAGCATTCATGACCAGCTCAATTCGAATTATCTGTGCAAGCAGCCAAGTCACATGATTTGTCTTAAGCATATGATGATCACCCTCTGTAAGACGTGAAACCAGCTTGTCCACAAAATCAACAAAATCAATGCACCCACTTTTCATAAGAAAAAAGAAAATATCAGAGAAGACAAGCCAGTCCTGCCAGCAATTTATCTCTGCAAGAATGCAAGATATATTCAGAAAGAATCAGCTTTTTATATGTGATAACAAAAGCTTTCCTAGAATCAATTATTTTCTTTAGGGGATAAAAGAAGATTATATTCTTAGAAAAAGAAAAAAAGGAGAGAAAGTACATCAGAGGAAGGAGAGGATCAGGAATTCTCCAAACAAGAAAAAGACTAAAAGACAAGAGGGAAACAAAGAAGCACAAAAGATGCAACAATGCTGTCCAATCCCTTGCATCCAAGATGAGCATAGCACCAAAGATAGGCCATAAACACAATCTTGGAACAAAACAGATGTAAGAGTATAGAGAAGAATATGAAATGGATATTAGATGCAAGTATTACAAAGAAATTAGAGTCCTATCCTACTCTGCAAGACATTTTAAGGCCAACTCATAGCAATACACTGCAATTTAAAATTAATTTCCCAAACACCAAAACCTAAAAAGAACTCTATGATACAACACATACACACACACATACAGAATCATATATATATATATATATATATATATATAGACAGACAGAGAGAGAGATAAGATTATTGCCTGAATTTGTTAATTTCAATAGTTCAACAATTCTATCAATAGTTGCCTCACAGATCATCTCTGAAGAAAAAACAGCACCAGAAGTAAGCCCTTGAGATGAAGGCCTATAACAAGGAGCCAGTACCAGCACGCGTCTCCACCAATCAGGTGATGGTGTAGTACGAAGAGCATGCCTTATGCAACGTACAGCTCTCTCCCAATCTAAACTTCCCTTCTGAATAGAAGTTGCAATATCCTACAAAGAGCAATAAGTGACTAATTTACTTGGGACAAATTATCATCAAATGTAAAATAGCAGTAGTATGTACATATAAACCATAGTTGCAGACATGCCAAGCACATATAAGCTATTAAAAGAAAGAAATGCACAAATACAGAGATAAATTCCAATAAAATGGAATAAGACCGCAGAATATTGGAGAGGAAAATAGAAGAACTTAAATAATACAGGACAGAGTCAAAATAGAGAAATCAACAAACATGAGAAAAGTCATTGGACTTTCCATTAGAATTAATCATATAGATAAGTATAATGAAATAATGAAAAGAAGGCAGGTGAAGAAATGCCATCAATATTCTATCTGTATGTAAAGCTAGAAGAAGCGAGAGAAACAGTACATGTATGAGCCTAAGAAAACAATTAGCAAGACCGTCATATTTAACTTTATTGATGTCCTAAACCCAGGCGAACAGGGAAATGAGATTTACTAGCGCAATCCTCTTTATAAACAGCTCAGAACAGCTCAATATACTTTATATGTCCATTTCTTTCTATAAGCACTAACAAGCCACACATTTAGATCTGGATAAGAGAACTGAAATGTACATGAAATTTTGGAATTCCACATCAACACTTCTGCCCACTCAGACAGTTTGAGAATCTGCTCCAAATATCCTTTCATCAACTCCTAAGGCCCTTTTATCAATCCTTAATGAGTGTATGCTACAAAACTTATAATTATACAGAGTCCAAGTTATTAACTGAATGACCATTTATTTAGTTAGGAAAAACATAAGACATGCTAAGTGAGAAAATAAAAGACCAAATCAAAAGTGGAACCAAGCAACATTACCAGAATGAATATTCCAAGTTTACCATAATAGATTCCTTTGAAACATTTGTAAGAAACGAAAGTGGCGCTTTTGAATTATCATGACTCATGAACACTAGTCACTAGTGTCAAATTCAATATCATCACTCATCAGTCACAAATAAAACACGGATTAAAACATAAATTTGAGTATTGAATGCATACAATACAATAGAGGAACCAAAAGATCAAAACCAATAAGTATACAATATTAAGGAGGTTGAGTCTGAGTTTAAAAAAACACAAATAATATGCTAATGGCAAACTCCCAATGCACAAGGCTCCCGACTTGCTAGGGTAGGGGTGAGGGTCAATTATGTGCAGCCTTACTCTTACATTTTTGCAAAGAGGCTATTTCTCAAACTCAAACCTGTGGCCTTCCAGTCACAAGTAGCAACCCTACTGTTGCTCCAAGGCTCGCCCTCTACAAATAATATGCATATAAGCATTAAATTTATAGATATATAAGTCCAATAAAATTATGAAAGCACAGAAGCCACAACAGTTGAACCTATATTGCAATACATCACCAGTACACGTTACTTAAGTCCTTATCTCCAATTTTCATTTCCCAATTTAGGTACTTGTATGAAACCACCTAACTCTTTCATGTATGAGGCTGTATGGCACACAACAGCCAGCAAATTATCTTTCTGAGATTCATAGCCCTTCTATATAACTAAAAACAAATACATCTGAGTACTTCATATGGAAGTTATGAGCAATGATACAGTTTAAGCATGGAAGCTTTGGCAATTCATGCAGGCGAAAAGATCCTATGCCAGTTGATGGATGTCACAAACAATCAAATATCAAATGCCTTTTCAAATAAAATATAAAATCTCAATGAACAGATGAAGCTTAAGAAGAGACAATTCTTGCGAATTCCTCTAGGACAGAACATAATTTTGTGCATAAATCTGCAACTGCTAATCAAATTTGTTGCAATAACATTAAGCAAAATCTAAAAGTAGATTTAAGCAAGGATAGTATCTTAAGAACTTTACTTTTAAATAGGAACGTTATGGGTAAACAAATACTGGTATGCACCTCAAAAACATGGCTAAGGAAAGAAAAAGAAATGGACTCCATACACTGATAACAATTAGACCTAAATCTGTGAGTTTTAGGTCCTTAATTGAAACAATTTCAGTCAATTTATTCTTTCAGTCAATCTTTCTAGGTTGACCACTGTTGCCTCGATATAATAGTTAAAATTTCTGTACAAGTAGTGTTGAGTTGAAAACAATTGTTATTTTTTTTTTTAAGAGATATAAAGGGGTATTGTAAATATGTATGTTGTCTGATTTAGGAGATACCATGAGTAAGAGCACTGTCAAAGTTATGAAAACTATTTATGGGGCACCTTATACCATATGCTTTTATGTTAAGTGGTCCTCTAACAATTTTGAGAACAATATGATAGCATCTGATTATTTAAATACAATTTCAAGCATCAATAATGAGTTTCTTGAGATAGTCATGTGACTCGTCACCTCTCCATGCAATGGTTCTCCTAGTACACTTAAATATGCGATCGGTGATAGTCGCATGTGTGCTGCTGCTTCACCTGAAATATTAGGTGTTGTTTGATTTAGGATCCGATGAGTCCCAAATGTAGGGCAATGAAGATGCTGATCTAACATTTGCATGTGCATAGCCATCATATCTCGTCTCCGGTGGATCTCCAAGATAAGTGTAAACAATGCTTCATCATCTGGAATATTCTCTATGAACTGCAAATCACTACGTAATAATTCATAAAAGGGCACCCGACATTTTCCCTCATCAACTAAAAGCCAGATCACATCCAAACAACTGTGTAGCCATGCAATTACAGCTTTGTCAGGTCTCCATGATTTTAATATATCAGATTCATCAACTCCCTGTTGCCTCTGGTCCCAATTTACCAGCCAATTCAGCATATGGTGGAAGATTTCAGCATAAGTCACAGGTTTCAAAATGGCCTCAAGACCAGTTAAAATAATCTTGCAACATAGTTGGCGAAGGCTACTATTACTAATATCATTATTTCTAACAGACGGACTACCTCTTAGTTTAGATTGTTGTCCAGTGGAGGAAAGATCAGATGATTTGACAGGAGACAAAGCTGCACAGGATAATGGTTCAATAGTTGACTGTGCAGGGGAGCCAATAGTATGAACAGAAGGCAATGGAGATGCAGGATTTGAAGACTGAAAATTAGAAGAATTTGCAATCATGCTGGGAGGTGGCAGCATTCCTGACTGTGATAAGGTTGACGAGGGAACAGCTGGCACTGCTTGACTCAGTTGACCAACAGGCAATTCTGCCGAAGAAACTGAAGAAAGAAGGGATGGCAGAAAGGTATCCCAGTTAATGTACCCAATACCGCATAAGCTCCGTAAAACAAAAAGAAGAAAGTCTGCACGTGGTCCATGACCACTACACTGTAGAACTAGCGATATAAGAATAGCTTCCGTCACAGAACGTAATTGATCTTGGTCCTGAAAGTAAAACACGGTATCAACATACATAAGTAATAAAATTTCATGTTCTCCCTTCAATTAAGGTAAAGCAAAGACGAAACAACAATGGAAGATGTAAGAAGTTGCAGGGCATATTTTCAAACTCACAGGAAACTGGCTCTGAATTTGCTCAAAATCTAGAATGAACTGCTCATTTGGCGGAGGAAGCTCTCGATTAACAGCGAGTACACGTTTTTGTGTCTTGTTCCTGAAATTAAGTATTCCCACATTGAAAAAGTAAGAAAACTTATTATAGGAGTACCATATTTATTCAACATCGGAATCGGAAGAACCAGTGTAGAAAAACCATGTGAAAAGACAATACATTTTATAGTTACAAGCCCAAAAAGGTTCACTAAATATTATTCAGCGTTATCTAGAATAAGTAACTGAAGGGGAGCCTTGACACAATGGTTGATGTCAGGCACCATGTGACTCAAAGGTCACTTCATATTATGTAATCAACCTCTTGCAATGCAAAATGCAAAATAAGCTACCCACCATAGACAGACATAACGTGCAGAGAGGGAGCTTTATAGCACCACACTAATTAGCTAGAATAAATGATTCAGAAAAGTGAAATGTTGCCAAAGCAAATAATAATGATAATGCTTATGTATTTTGTAGAATAAAAAGCATTTGGATTTTTGCAATATCAAAAAACCTATAACCAGATGTGGATAAAGCATACAACAGCGAAACCAGTTTTCATGTAATTAAAGCACACATATAAATCAAGATATAGATATAATCTAATCTCCAGAAACACAAAAACACAAAATAGCGGTGTATGCACTTACGGCGGTTCCCGGAAAGAGTCATCGGGTTTCTGGCGGCTGTTTCTCTGGCAAAATGAAAAGAAGAAGAATTAAACGAAAGAAAAGAGAAATTGCGAGAAGAAGAAGAAGAGAGGAAATGAAATTACTCCAAGCCCTAAGTAGAGGTTGAAGAGATCAAGAATGGGAGCACGAGCAGGGTGGATTTGGTAAGAACGCGAGGGTGTTGCTGTTGCTGTTGCTGCTGTTGATCTCTGATTCAGAGATTGATCCATTTTTTCGGTTTCATTCAATTCGAGTGCACTGCTATAAAAGAAGCTTTCTGATTTTCAGTTTTATGCACACACTGTTCTAAGTTCTAACAAGGCACTCACCAGTCACCACTATTCCAGTCGTCGAACTTATTATCTCTGTAACGGTCAGGGTCAGCTTATACTCGTTTTGGGTAGGGCATGTCTGCGAAATGGAATAGGAATAGTATTTGTGTAGGAAATGCACACATAAGGTGGTTCATATTATTTTTTATATCTCTTTATAGTTTTTAATAAGTAATTGTAAATGATTATTTCTTCCTCTCAGCAATTAAAAAAATAAGAAATTATACTCTTTTTTAGAAAAGAAAAAAAGAAGAAGGTAAGATAAGATATATTAATTGATGAATGAGAAAAGGATTTGTAATACTTTTCATTATTGTAGAAAATTTTATAATAATTTTATTAAATCATTTAAGTCTATTAGTAAAGAAAAAATATTAACTTTACCAAAAAAAAAATATTAAAAAAAAGTGTATTATTAACAACTTTTTATTTTTGAAAGAGAAAGAAAAAAAAATATTACGTCAAATTAATGACTCTATCTAGAGTACACTGCATCAATTTACACTGTATTTTGCTTTGATAATATTAAAATTCAAAAAAATAAAAAATAAATGTGTGTAAACTCCCTAACTATGTAATGATCATTTCAGCTTAATAATATATATATATATATAGGAGAAGGACCACCAAAAAAATTTACAACTTTTACAATTAACTTAATCACCATTGATTTCTATTAATCTAACGGTTATAATTTATTGAAAATTATTAGATCGCATTTATTAATTAATTATTATTCTCAATAAATTATTACCGTTAGATTGATGGAAATTGATTAAGTTAGTTGTAAAGGTGATAAACATTTCTGCGGCCACTTTAGATAAGATTATCTACAGCCATCATTTTTAACTATGTTCTCCCGGGAGAACATAGTTATAACAGTAAAATTGTTTTTTTTCTCTCCTCAGTTACTTTTCAGAACCTGTTTGCTGACATGGAGAGAGAGAAAAAAGCAACTTTAATGTTATAACTACGTTCTCCCAGGTGAACATAGTTAAAAATGGTGGTTGTAGGTAACTTTATCTAAAGTGGCTGTAGAAATACTTTTATCATATATATATATATATATAGGGAAATTGAAAAGTTATGTTGCAGGAACATAAAATTACAGTGGACCCACAAACTTTGTGTCTGCAGGAAATTGAAGTCTTATCATGTAACATTACATACATAAACCCCATATATATATATATATATATATATATATATATATATATATATGAGGCAGGATTCTTTGACACCGGTGTCAAAGAAAAAGTTTGACACCTCATCTGAGAGCCGTTAGATTAAAAAAAATCAATGGTATCACATGCTTACAAATCAGAATCGTTGATTTTTTTAATCTAACGGATCTCAGATGAGGTGTCAAACTTTTTTTTTTTACACCGGTGTCAAAGGATCCTGTCTATATATATATATATATATGAGGTAGGATCCTTTGACACCGGTGTCAAATTTGACACCTCATCTGAAAGCCGTTGGATAAAAAAAGATCAACGATTCTGATTTATAAGCATGTGACACTATTGATCTTTTTTTGATCTAACGGCTCTCAGATGAGGTGTCAAACTTCAAATTTGACACCGGTGTCAAAGGATCCTACCTCATATATATATATATATATATATATATATATATATATATATATATATAGAATAATAAACAAATTCACTAACTGTTAAGAAAAGATTTTTACAACACAATTCCAAAACTTTTTCAGGAACAGAAAATAAATTACTTCTAAGAAAAACCAAAATCAAATTAATTATAAAATTAAACTCTCCAAACGATTTTCAGAACCCATTATTGTAATTGGATTGAACTTGGAAACTTCTGATTTGCGATAATGAGAGTTTTTTTTGTTTTTTTTTTCTTTTTAAAGTTTTAGTGAGATTGACAATGTATTTATGTGGTAATACTAGCGATTACTTGTGGTACATCACCAGGTAATAATTTTTTTCATTTTTTTTTTCTCTCAAAATTTTGTATTGTGGTGTGATGTAGTACATACTGACTTGTATGAGAAAAAAATTCCTCAGTGTTGACGTTAGCAAAAGTGATCCTATTTGGTCCAAAAATGTTAAGCTAAGAGGGAGCACGAAGGGCATGTCATAAGTCTCTAATTTATTATCTATTAATTGATTTAAAAATAATTAAAAATTATGAGAAGTATAATTAAAGTGTTATCTTATTTTTAGTAATATTTTTATAAAAATTTTTATATTTTGCAGTAATTTTCAGCTCAATAAAAAGATAAATTAGAGAGTTCAAGTGAATTTGTTTTGAATTTCTGAATCATATGATTGATTGAAGATCTTATTAAAGATTCTCTTGAATATTGTTTTAAGGAAATTGTTTCCTTTAAATATAAAAGAGAATATTTTAAAGATTTGATTAAACATATAATTGGAGATTATAGTAAAGATTCAATTGAAGATATTATGAAAAATTAAAAGATATGATTTCATCACTATAAATAAAAGAGCTTTAGAACAATTGAAGGAGCTTTTGAACAATTGAGAAGAGCAAATCCTACTTTGGAGAGAGAAACACATCTTTCATGCTTTGAAGCATCGGGAGCGATTTGAATTCAAGAACAAACTCGGGGTTTTGAGGATTCTTCACGTCACCACACCAATGGAGTTTAGGGGATTTTCTTTATTTCTCTTGTCTTTGATTTCGCCATGTTAGACTAGATTTTTATGCAGTTAAGGGTAGATGGAAACCAATTGAATTATTATGTTTATGATTAAATTATCTCTGAAATTTTCCTTTTTATAATTGAATGAATTTATCTATGTTTAATGTTTTCTATGAGTTTGCTCCTTGTAGATTGATTTAGGGGAATTGTATGACAATAAGGATGTTGATGCATGCACCCTGATTTGATAAATTCATCATAATCCTTGTGATCTAGGGGTAGACATAGGGTAAATATGCAATTTTAGATTATTGTTGTTAATGCATGTTTTCTTGGGAAACAACCGGGAAGTTAGGATTCTTTCAAGATTATGTAGAATTAAGGTAACAAGGGATTGAACCTTAATTACTTTGAGGAATCAAATGGCATTATATTAAAGGCGATTATTTGATTGTTTAATCCATAACATAATAAGGATATTGGGGGAATCGAAACCTTAACTACGCTCTTTCTTGATTTTCAAAACCAAATTCTTTTTCTTTGCTTGCTTTAAATTCTGGAATTGCATATTCTTGATTTTCTTTCTTTTATCTCAAATTCGATTATCCAACTAAATCGTCGTTAGCGAACTAGTGTTTGAAAACCAATCATCGTGGGAACGATCTCGTACTTAGTACACTTTTATTACTTTCAAAAACTTGTTGCAACTTCGACAAGTTGTAGTTTTATATTCTTCCATTTTCATTCATCTGCTTCACAAGTTCCCATTATGCTCAAGAGGGACACTACTCGTTCACTTATGAGGCAAATATCAAATTGAAACACGGGACTAATGAGATAACTCTACTCAGTAGCACTGTTGGTTTACCTATAAGTAACAAGTATACACTTCGTGAAGACATTAATTATGTGGCAGTTTATGTTGGTTACATAACTAACATTGTTCTCTTTATTCCAATAGAAGTATGGAACTCACTTTGACAACACTCAAGTCGGTATTCTTGGTCCAGTTCAATTGGTGGCACAAAAGAATAACACTGAGGTCACCAAGGATCTCACCAATAATGTATGGAATTATGTGGTGGGATTACACGGTGAGAATGTGAAGCATTACAGTCTTAATAGTGTTGGAAATCGACAATCACACAAAATCAACAAAAAATAGAAAAGAGAAGAGATATTGACACGGTGATTTATCTTGGTTCACCCAATATAGGCTACATCCAGCTAGTCTGTACTATATTAATCTCACCGCCACTCGTTATAAGTCACTCGGTGTACAAGGAGAATATAAATAGGATTACAAAACCCTAGCATCAGCTATTCATGGGTCCAAGCCCAAACTACTAACAAAAATTACAATAAATCAGAGGCCCAAGCCCAAACCTCAGTTGCCTTTCTGCTGACCCCGACAACAGGGGCCCTCATCACCATGCGAAGCATGAGCCATACCCAACATTCTCCAACTTGGTGAGTGCTTCACATATTTCTTCAATTCCAATGCAGCTGTACACCATTCAAACTTCTCTGAAGTCACTGCCTTGGTCGGAAAATCAGTATTATTGACTTTTGTGTCAACCGTCTTTAGCAATATAACTTTGTCTTCAATCTTCTCTTTGATGAAGTGGTACTGTATGCCGATATGCTTGATCCTCACGTGGAAACCTGGGTTCTTAGCCAAGAGAAATAGCACTTTAATTATCATACCCAATTATCATCTTTCCTTGTGCAAAGTCAAGCTCTTGGCACAACCTCTGCAACCAAATAGCTTCCTTAACAACATGTGTCAAGGCCATGTACTTAGCCTATGTAATAGATAAAGCAACAGTGCTCTGCCTCTTACTCATCCAACTGATAGCTCCGTCAAATGAAGAAAAAACATATCCACTTATAGAGCTCCTACTATCAATATCACTTTCCCAATCAGCAACCACAAAGCATCTCAACTCTAATATTGTATGCCCCCTTGAGCCCTTCACGCCTTCATAGCATAACCAAAGGTCAAACATACCAGTGTGGGTGTTAACGGGTCGAGCCGAGCTTTGGTCTTCAAAGGCTAAGCCTGTGTTTAAATGTGTCAGCCTGACCAAGCCTGTTACCTGTTATGAATATAATTTCAGCCTGTGGCTTGTCTTATTTACAAAAAATAAAAGCCTTGTTTAGCTTGTTAGCCTGTTTAAAATAAAATAAGACAACAAAAATTTATCCAAACAAAATATACAGTCAATAGCACTAGTAAGTCTATAAATATTCATAAATTTAATGTATATCCAAACAGCATAATATAAAACAAAATCATTCAAAAAGTCTGTTTAATTAATAAAATGGGATGAAATGGATTGATGAGAGAGACAGAGAGGGCTATCACAA